TTTTATTTTTTGCTACGTGTACCTCTAAGCAGAGATATTGCTACGCAAAGTCCGATTTGGAAATTTTTTACTTTAAGAAACGTCGTCATTATTATTATCGTCGCCCGGTTCTCACGTGTGGTTGCAATTTCTGTCACGGAGGCGCTACTGTGCCCAAGATCCAATATACACACATCGGCAGGAATGGTATCTGTGCGCTCGGCGCGCGGCCACTACACATACGCACGAAGCGCGTAAATCCGTGTCTCCGCGAAGCGCGAAGGCGAGAGAAAAAATAATGGAGGCAATTCGATGTTGCATCCAACGCGAGACGCACGATCGAGAGAGAAAGCATAATCGGACGTGATACCGAATTTCCGATATCCCTTTGCTGTTTCACACACTCGACGTTAGTGTGAGTGAGAGAAATCACGGTATCTCTATGCATCGCGCTTTTTTTCTTTCCCTTTCATTCTGATTAATTATTGATTATTCAATGATTATTTATTTAATTAATTCAAATATAATTATTAATTATTTAATTATCGCGTAATAATTCTTTTATTATATTTTTTTATTATATATTTTTATTATATTTTTTAAAATTACGTGTAAAATTACAACTATCGTTGCGGGTTTAAACATTGAATGTTTTACAGCTACCTCAAGCAATCGATATTAAAAATTATTTATATCATTTTTATACATTATTAAAATGATTTTAAAAAATAATGAATTCGCGAAACTGTATTCAAAAAAAAGGAAGATCATATTCAATAATAATAAAAAATTATTAGTAAATAAAAATGTGAAAATGAAAATAAGTATTTTCGAAATGAATACTATGTTGTAAATTTAAAATTTGAATTTGCAATAATGTAATTAAAATACCATTTCTTTAAAAGTATTATTTCACGTTACATTCATCATCATTCACATATCATATCATTTCTATATACTTATATTTAATTGACATGTAATTTTACAATCTTATAACACAAGAAGTTTATTTGCACATTGCAAATTTAAAAATGCGTAAAACTGTTACATGGGTCTCCAAATGATCTATAATGATATTTGTAATTTTACACAACTTCTTTTTAAAATGTATAATAGAAGAATTACTACGCAATCATAATTAAATAATCAATTAAATTAATAATTAAATAATCATTAAATGATTAATTATTGATTATTTAATGATTATCTAATTATTGATTTAATTGACTATTTAATTATGATTGCGTAGTAATTCAAATTATAATATAATTATGATATAAATTATGAGATGACATAAAATTACGTTTAACCTTTAATTTAACTCAAATGATATGTATCTAACATAAATGGTAGTAGCTTTCATTCTATCTCAATATATGTATATAATATTTCGGCACATCCTTTTGTAAAGAATTTTTAAATACATGTATATTTGAATGGAAAATTTAATTACAAAGAATTAAAGAGATAATAGTACAAAATGAACAAAATTTACTTTAAATAAAAAAATTTTCATGTAAGAAAACTTGGCGCTGGATAAAAAAATAAAACTATTTAAAGTAATGATATATATAAAACAATAACATTAAAGTAATAAGAATACAGTTTCTTGTACATAATATATGTCGTCACATTACTTTATAACATTTATAAATATGTATTTAAAAATTCTTTACAGAAGGATATGCCGGAATATTATGTATACATATATTGAGATAGAATGAAAGCTACGTTAGATACCACTTATGTTAGATACATATTATTTGAGTTAAATTGGATTAAACGCAACTTTATGATATCATAATTTTGAAAAAGAATTAAAGCTACTATCATTTGGATTTTAGAATAAAAAGACTTCAATGAAAATACAAAGCTATGAATCATTGATTGATTTATATTTTTTAAAAATAATCCATTTAACTACGAGGTAATGGGACTATAACTTGACGCCTCTTTTTTGATATCAAATCTTTTATACAGATGATATACATATTAATTAAGTTAAATGCAATTTTATGATATTATTTTTTAAAAAGAATTAAAGCTACTGTTACTTGAGTTTTAGAATAAAAAGATTTTAATGGAAATAAAAAATACGAATTATTGATTGATTTACATTTTTTAAAAGCAATTGTAGGGTTGAATTTAATAAGATTCTGATATAACTTAGGTTTAAATAGGATCTTACTATACTTGACATACAAATATACATGTATATTCTTAAATCTTCATGAGCGCGTACTCTAAAGCGATAATGGCCTCTCACTTGATGGATGCAGGTCGGATTGCAGCCGTGACACCCTCCAACGCCCACCCTCCATTGGCAAATATATAAATAATTTTCATGGCGCGGCAAGAAAAACTGCACGAAGCTTGGTTCGAGCCTCCAAATAAGAAAGGAGGGTGTGCCTCACACAAATTTTTATATAATCTTTCGTATAAATCTTTTATATCATATTAGGTTGCCTAACTTTAAGAACAACATTATTTCTTTTGCTTGTTTGGAGATACCGATTTCGTAAATGTTTATAAAATTTCTGTATAAAATGAATATTGACATGAATTGACAGCTCTAAACGCCATATTAAAGTAATAAATGAAAGAAATGTAAAGTATTAAATGAATGAAATGTAAGAAAGATTTAAATTTAAAAAAAATTTCTTATTTTTGATATGCAGTCCATACAATTAACATGCATTAATGCATATAATTTACGGAAAAAGATTTTCAAATCTATAAAAACAATACAAAAGAAAAATTATTACAAAAAAATATTGCATTTTATCAGTAATAGGCAAATTTATCTTTTAAAAATGGTATAATATAAGGCGACAAGATTTTTACATTAAAAATTCCTTTGATAATGTATATTACAATATTACAATATATCTATGATCTTAAATCTAAAATAAAGGTAATAATAAAATAAATTTTATACTCTATTTCAGATATTGGGTATCACGAATCCTAAAGGCAAGAAACGATATATCGCAGCCGCTTTCCCGAGTGCTTGCGGTAAAACAAATTTGGCTATGATGCAGCCTACTTTACCAGGTTATAAAATTGAATGCGTTGGTGATGATATCGCATGGATGAGATTTGATAATAAAGGAATCTTACGCGCTATTAATCCAGAAAATGGATTTTTCGGAGTTGCTCCCGGTACAAGTTCAGCTACGAATCCCAATGCAATGAACACTATCTTCAAAAATACCATTTTTACTAACGTAGCATCTACTAGCGATGGAGGAGTATATTGGGAAGGAATGGAAAAAGAAGTTGCAGATAATATAAAGGTATAAAACAGTAATTATTAACTCTTAATCAATGAATCATCTACTATATATATATTATGTCAGCATATTATGTAGAGTGGCAACAGAATTGATACAGAATTAGATATGTATATACAAAGCTATTGATAGAATGCAGAAAAAAATGTAACAGAATTGTTGGCAGACTAATTTGTAATATAATCGATCTAGAAAGATTGTAACACTTTTTTAACGATAGTTTTTGGAATCAAAGCGTAAGCATACAATATCCACTTTTGTGTACATTTGGACAATCTATTCAATATTATATATGCTTTAAAGCATTTGATTGATCAATTAAAATAAAGAATTTTACTATTTAATAAATAAAAAATGTTTTGCAGAATTTATATTAATAGAATTTATTAAGTAGATTGCATCCATAGTATAATAAGTGGTTAAGACAACTGTCGAAGTATACATAGAGAGTATATAAAATAAAATAATATTTTTATACATCACAAGAAACTCTTAATAGATATGATTACAATGGTCTTAATACGTACAATTTTATTTTATAAATTTTTATATAACTTTAAATTTATAAATACAGAAAGAATATATGAATATTGTATAAATTGTCATAAAAATATATATTAATAAAAATTAATATATTACAATATATTAATATATAGCAATTATAAGGCTAATGAGAATTAGCGCAAACGTAAACAGTGTGCAAATTATAATTTTAACTACATTTGTTAATAGAAAATTCCAAACGTTTCGACTCGCCCGAGTCATCTTCAATAGCGCAAAACTATAGCAGGGATACATTTTTTAATCCAATCGGTGATTCCAACCACAAAAAAAAATAATAATAATATGTCATTGACTAAAAGAAATTATTAATTATTAAGTAAATTTTAAATGTAAGATGGACATTTAGATCATTCATATAAAATAAAAAAGAAAGAATAGTTATAAAGTGGTTGTCATTTCACTCATCAAATGGACACAGAGGATAATGAAAAGAAATTAACTAAAAAAAACAACAAATCTCGTTACACAAGCACATCGCAACAAGCGCCATACTCCAACTCAAAATAATAACTGAGATCAATGATGATTTTTAAAATTGACAAGATCCAATCAAAATAAAAACAAGTTTACAATTTGCTCAAGACGGAAATATATATGTGATAAAAATTTAGTATCTGATTGTGAATTTAGGTTATTGTTCTGTCTTTTAATGAAAAGCACTTCCGGAATCAATCGTTTTCATAGATTATGTTCACTATCCAAAATTTTAACATTATCCCATGTAAATTCGTGATCGCACTTTATCCTATGTTCAATAATAACTGAATAGTATTTTCTACTTAGTGTATACTTAATATTTTCTACTTATTTTCTATTTATTTATTTTCCATTTCGTATATTCTATTTTCTACTAATATGATTTTGATGTTCATTCAGTTTCGTTTGTAATTGTCTCATAGTCTGTTCCACATAGCACGTATCGCAATTATTATAGCAGAGCTTGTGCACTACATTTCTTTTCGAATATACTGAGAAAGCATCTTTATGAAATCTCAAACCTCTCAACTTATACTAAAAACGCAAGTTTAGCGTCAAAATCATCATTAATATTTTCGAATTTAATAGAAGTTCTTGGAATAAACGGTAATGTAAACCATTTTGTTTTTCACGAAATATCCAAAGAAGTATTTGAAGTGTTGAAGTATTTCTTGATATATCATCTCGTTTAAAAAGAAATTTTAATCTTGAATGAATATTTTCAAAAATTGAGAGGATAATCATTCATTAACAAGATAGTGATCATTAAATTTAAGTTTTCCTCATGATATTTTGGAGATAATAAGAATTATCCGCTCTATCAATGAATCCAACAATACGTCTTTTTTAAACGTGAGTGTTGAGAATAGAAATTAAGATATCTTCCCGAGAATGTAGGTTTATGAAATCAGTCAAACTCTACAACATTATTAACAATTCTCATAGTCACATCAAGAAAATTCAACTCCTTCCAATCTCCATTGTAAATTGCAGTGTAGGGTGATAAGAGTTAAATTTTTCAAGAACCTTATCAGTTAGAAAGGATGTTAGAAAGGATAGCCATTATAATATCGTCGATATATCTTTGAAAAAATGATAAAAGTATTCTCAAGAGTTCTCTTTTCTAAATCTCTTAATATTAAATCGACTATGATTGATAATAGAGAATCCAAGGGTGTTCCATTTATTTATAAATTTTATTGTCGAAAGTGAAAAAAGTCGAATTTAGAACAAATAAGACTTCATTGAAGAATTCATCCTTAGGGATGTCACAATTTTTTAAGATGTCCTCTCCAGTGCTTTGCAATACTATTTGCAATACTATTGATAGATCAATAGGAACATCGAATAAGGAAACGACATCAAGAGAGATTAATATGTAGTCATTGGCTACATGCGTGCCAGACAATTTTTTAACAAATTGAAAATTATTCTCAACATGACTCAAAGGTTTTAGGATATTTTTTGAAAAAAGTTTGTTTAAGAAAAATGCAAAATTATATACAAGGTCTTATATAAAAGTTTATTAGTGAGGAAACATTTATGCGAAGAGGACCTTATTTATATATCTTAAGAAGTACTCCATAAGCTCTGGAGAGAATTCTGTCACTACAAAGAAGATGTTTATATGGATATTATTATAGATGTTATTATTAAGTGTTTCGGATATATAATTAGAATTTTTTCAATTTTTGAGAATGTCTCGCAATTTGTTGGTGATAGTCTTACAAGAGGAGGGCGCGGACTTGGGAACATCGATTTTGAAAAGACTTATATATCTTAAAGTACTCTACTAGAAGAGTACTTGAGCATAAAAAATTAAAATTGAAAATGAAATTAAAAAATTATAAATTTAAGTTAATTAAAAGAAATTAAAAGTTAATTAAAAGAAATTAAAAACAATAAAATAAAAAGCTTAAAATAAAAAAGGTTTAAAAAGTGTAAAATAAAATAAATATAACATAAAAATAAAGACAATCATAAAATAAAATAAAAAGTGAAAAGGATAGGCTTAAAAAAATTTAAGTTAATGAAATTAATTTTAAAAAATTAAAATTGAAAATGAAATTAAAAAATTATAAATTTAAGTTAAAAGAAATTCAAAACAATAAAATAAAAAATTTTAAATAAAAAAGACATTTTTTTGCAGATAAAGAATACGTTCCGTTTCTCGCATAATGCGCATGATGTATCATTTATCCTTATCACTATACATTAAACAAGGATAAATAATGCATTATGTGCATCATGCAAGAAACGGAACGCATTCAAAATGACAATAATGACCGGAATGTATATTA